GACATGATATAAGTGCTTGAATAAACGGTTTCGGCCTAAAGGCTGTTGGATCATCAAACAGCAAATCTCCAAAGTTTGTCTGTATTCAGTCAAACGAGCCACAGGCCCTCCTTGTAGATGTCAATGTTTTATTTTTTCCCACAAACCCCCTCAGAAAAGTTTCTGAATTGTGAAAAATCCCAGCTTCTACCGGATAAATCTATCTGCTCACTACCAAAAAAGTGCACCCTCTCCCTCCACAAACCAAAAACGCTGAATTCCTCTCACAAGAGCAAAGCCCCTGTCATGAGCTTGAAAATTTGAACGCATGTCCTGTTAGCTTGTTCACAACAACCGATTAAGACTTTTGGTGGAAGGACCCCTAGTGGTGGTCTGGGGTCATAGACGTGGATGGGGAACCTCGGCTTTCTGTGTTTCAACTGGCTGGATTCTCCCTCTGTCCTTAACTTTGATTTGGAACTGCTGGCAAGTGTTTGTTTTGTTCTTCATGAACCAGTAAGCTAACATTGATTGCAATCCTTCACCAAGCTGCTTCTGTTATGAGCGCTTCCATTTAAATTAAATTCAAATAAATTACAATTTGAATGTAATTAAAAGCCAAAGTTGAATGTAATTAAAAGCCAAAGTAAAGCAGAGATGTGTTAGAGGCCAATTCCAGCCAAATGTACCTGAAATACTCGTAATGCATAAGCAGAAAGTGGTTATGTAAGAGTTCACAGAACTAGTAGGAAAAGTAACATTTGTGTTCATTTTTGCTGTAACTTTATAAACAGAATAGTCAAATCTGATATATATGTAATGTATGTCATGGGAAATGTTATGGGAAATAATTTTAGGCCGAATTCAGATCCGCTCTTAAGTACATATTCTGCACGTGAGAGTGAGAGACTTGCGTGGAAAAAATGGACAGCACAGGTGTGGATTCGGACCCTGAAGAAGAAGTCAGAAAACTGTATTTTATGGCCAAAATGCCAATATTTTCACAGACATAAATGTTTGGATTCAGATGACTCTGCAGCACTGTTTATCATTACAGGATCTGATAATATCAGCTAAAAAAAACATAAGGATGAGTTAACCGGGCCTTTAAGGACACATTTTCTGAATCCTGATCAATTTTTTCGAGCTGATGCAGACTTGTATGTTGTAACCTTCAACACTGCGACAGCACTCTGCCGTGAATCTATAGTTTTGCTATTAATAACTGGATCAAAAATGTAAAAAAAAAAAAAATCAGCCATGCTTATTTTCGCTGTGATGGAAATATTAATTGGCTGAGTTTTCGTTCGTATGCTGCCTCTCCAGAAAAGCCTGATGGATTTACCTCACGCGGCCTTCACAGAAACCTCACCAGTGCCATCCCAGATCAGCTCAGTTTATGTAATCAGGCCGCATTTGCTCGCTAACAGCCCACAGCAGATAAACACTTCCTCTCCCTTACTTCAAAGGCGGCTTTTAGCCCAAATACACTCCGCACCATCATTTAAGGTAAGACACCCTCAGCTGGCCCTGGGCCCAAAGGAGTGGGGGTGAACCCCTGGCACCTCGAAATACAGCTCCCCCATGTCCCTCCCCCTCAAAAATCCACCAACAAGGTCATGGTCTCCCTCCTCCATTTTGCGTTTGCATTTAGGCATTTATTTTTAGAGCCTGCAATGTGTTGTTCGTATAGTTTATATCACCTGCAGTCCATTTACGCACTTCAATATTTACAGAAGCATGTTAGTCTTGGTATGTAATTCACGCTCAAGGGCACAGCAACAGAGATCCCCCCTAGGAGTTGAACCTGCAATCTCTGAGTTAAAATCCCAGTTCCTTACAATTATGCTAAACTGTAACCTAATAATTCCGCGTCAATCCCGATTCTCACTCCTATAGCATTAGTTATTACTTTAGCACTGTCTGAATCTTCAGTGAGAGGCTGTTTGAATGCTGTGGGGAGAAGGACTCTTCCTGTCTGTTCTTGTCTCATTCTGCTTATCGACACATTCGGGTGATGCCGTCGTAAATGACATGTTTGAAGTGTATCCACAGACTTACCCGACTTCAGCTGAGCAATGTCGGTATACAGTTTGGCGCTAGTTGTTGTCCATTTTCAATGTAACTAAGCAGGAAACTGTACTGCTCCCATAAATTAGACCTAAATGTCATGGGGGCATCCTCCAGCTCTGGTCTTTCATTTGTGTTTGACAGAAACCCTACATGGGTGTGCCTAACCGGGCTAAGCCAACTAGCATGCTACTGCTGATAGCCAACAACTGGTGCACTGACAAAACTTTCCAGGTAAAATTCACGCTGTAGAATTTCTGTTCCACCTGAACGAGTAGCAGACATACATTGTTTGGGTCACAGGACGTACCGAATCGACGACGTCGCATATCAAACCGAACGTCTTGTACTGAATGGTTCCAGACAAACGCACGTACCGTTACACCCCTAATATTTTGTCCAGGCTAACTGATCTGTAACAAAGAATTAAATCACTATGTGGGAGGAGTGCCAACTTCGGGTTTCGAAGTTACCGATAATAACTTGATTATCATTCAGATAGTGTAATACGTATACTCACTACAGACGATGCTGTGTGTGCAAGAAATGCATTTCTTAGATTCCCCAAAGCAATCAAAAATGCATTTGGTAATGACAAATAGATTTCTTCAAATGTAAAATAAATCAAAGCACAACAGCTTAAGTTTGAAAAAGTCAGTGCATATTATACAGGAGAGATTTTTTTCCAGGATTTCATTGCTCATATTAGGGGTGCGCTTTATATACAAGTGCTTATTATACACAAATATATACGGTATTTTGGAAGTTCAGGTTGTCTTGTCAATGAATCCAGTGAACACTGTCACCCAGTAAAGTGCTGTCTTGTGACTGTTTCAGAGTATTTGGGCTTGTCCCAGCAAACTTGGCACCTGCATTGTTTTGATTTTATCTGGTTGAGAAATCAGATGGATCGTTTCAGGACAGCATGCGTATCACTTGTTTGCTTGCTAGTGGGACAGGCTGTCTAACAAGTGGAGCTCGCACAGATGTTGAGTCGAAGGAGGCACTTCATCTGTAGACTGTGGAGGAAAGTTGCAGGTGTCCAACAGCTCGTATTGTCTGAACAAGGTGAGCCGTACAACAGCTGGACTCATCTGTCAGACTCATGAGACTCGGAAACCTGACTACTTTCTCATTCCGATGTGGTATAACTGCCCAACTTCCAGGGATGTGCTTTCGTGACAGAAAAACAGTCATTTGCTACCTCTGACGAGCAAATTCTGATGAGGGTGTGTGAGGTAATGATAGACTGTCAACAACCAATCAATCCACATTTCAGAAAATCTGACAGCACCAATCAGATTGCTGGAAGCTAGGACTGACATGTTAACAAACCAGTCATGATGTTCTATCAGAAACTGAGCACCTATAGCGATAAGCCTACCCAATGCCCTCCCCCAATAGAATCTATAATATACATTCCTAAGAGTCAAAGGACCTCAGGGTCCAGTTGGCCTGGCATCCTCGACTAATACAGCTGGAAGATTGCAGTAATTAACTTATGCGTTCCGATTATATAACCAGCATCCCCCATCAATGCAGAACAGGGCAGATTTACAGTGGCCCTGGGTTCGAAGGCTTGTGTTATCTATGAAGAGAACAGCCCAGTCCTGGAGGGATATTAGCAGACTTAATTTTACTGGTTTCCTCATCTTGCTTGGTGCCATAGAAGAGAGAAACAGAGAGAAAGGAGAATCAGAGAGAGAAGAGAGAAAGAGAGAGAGAAAATTAGAGAATAGCTTTATTTATGTTGCAGTCAAGATTTATCCGAACGCTCGAATCGTAACGCTTGAAGTCAAAAAGAGAATGAGGGAGACAGAATGAGAGAGAAAGGAAGGAAGAGAGAGCACATTTTGATATTGTGGATGTTTGCTCTGTCTGTTGTGGTTCTCAAAGGTACTGCTTAGTGGATACGGTGTGGAGTTGTCGGGGAGCGGGGGGTGTTGGGAGTTGGGGGTTGCGATGGAGGAGGCTGTGATTAAAATCAATAAAACTCAATTGCTGTTTGCGATTGGGTGCCTCTTGACGTCTCTCTATTTACTCAGTACCACTGCTGCTCTGTCCTTTTTCAGTCGCAATTTACACATCTTTCTTATTTTCAAGACTCGCTTCACCCAGCTGGTTTTCCTGGCGATACACGGCGAGGAAATACCATCCCATTTTGATTGCATCACCAAAAAAAAAAAAAAAATCAATTAAAAATTGACACTTTAACCTCCTTCACTGCCTCTCTTTCCATTTTGTGTTCTACCTGCCGTCAAAGTCTCAGGATTGAACTCTAGGCCTTCATCTTCTTGTCTACATAGGTGCCCATGCACACAAATTTGGTGGTCCAGGTTCATTCTCCTTGGTGCAGCTGAGTGTAGTGCTTAGTGTTACACATATCTTAGAAAATAAATCAATATGTCTTATTTCATCAGTAATAAAATGTTAAAAGACTGGTAATATAACTTATGTCAACACATTTGCTGTTTTTGTGTCATTGTCTGTCAGCGAAATGAAGTTATAATGTAAGTGCAAAGTGAAAGACCAGGTCACAATGTTATACTGTGCTTTCCCTTGTGATGCATTATAAGATTTCCAGGAAAGTATTGTGGTACTCATAATAAAGGTGACATTGTGAGTTATCTTAACTGGAGGCTGTTGTGACCCTGCTCTAGACCTTATCCTATTGGTTGACCATGATCCAATGCATCAAAGTCTGATAAACCTTTATGCTTAACAACAGAGACAAGTCTTTTTGCAGACTGCACTACATTGGTTGCTGTCACTGACAAAACTATTGTCACTTTTTTTTTTTTTTTTTTTTTTTTTTTACACATTTGAAATGTGTTAGACCCCCTATAGTTGTAGGGTCTAAGGCCTGCACTGTCTTGCCTTTCTTTGCCTCTCTGATGTTGTTTCCAGGCCTTATGCTTTGCACTGGTAGCCTTGCACCTGTGAGGCCTGCAAATCCCAGGCTGGATTTGAACCAGGGCCGCTGCGGAAAGGCCTTGAGCTTACATGGCATGCACTCTACCAGATGAGCCACCGGGGCGCATGGTAGTGCTGTTGTCCTCTGTTGATTATATCCTGCTGCATCTGCTGCTGTAAGGCCTGTGTTTGGGTGCACTTCCTGTCCTTAGGCGCTTCTGTGGATTTGCAGCTCCCTGACTCATGCAGCCAACCCCAAAGCCATTCACACAGAAGGCTCTAGAGTCAAATGCTCAACTCGAGAGTCAACAACATCCAAGTCTAAGCATCAGACGGGAGTACAGATACACTCAGTGACTCACAATCTGACATAAAGACTGACAGTTTAGCCCAGAGCTTCATAATTCTAGCGCAGACCCACAACACGACATTAAGATTCACGATGTCACACAAAATAAATCCAACTTTGAGATTCGCGGTCAAGCATAGTGATTTGTAGGCTCACGATCTGACAGGATTCACAGGTGGCCCAGGGTTTCCCCATTCTGTCACCGAGTCACAATCCAAACTAGAGACTCACAGTCCAACGCACGGATTCACCAGTCTTGCACCAAGTTGTTTTAATTGCCAAGCACCAATCAGAGACTGATTTAGAACTGGCACACCAGGTCAGGCAGGTGCATCGACCAATCAGCTGCATACAAATTAGCAGCACTGCCGACTGAGGACCAGCTTCGACAGTCGGTGTTCATAGGCTATATAACAAGGATGCTCAAAACTGGCCCTCAAGGCCGGTAGCGCTGCTGCTTCCTCTTATTAAACTGACAGACTTAAAAGTTCCCAGTCTGGCTTCGATACCAGGATATTGGGTGCATCATTTTGGCCTCGAATTTATGGTCCAACCCTGTCCAAGCTTTTCTCAGCATGTCTGGCTGAAGGTAGAAGTGCATTAACTGGATTAAGAGAGCATTAACTGCACAGAGACATATAAGAGAGACAACTCCCTTGCGGAACATTAACTGTGTGCCTCCATGTATGCTAATCATCAAAGCCCTACATGAGACCGCGCGATCGATACCTCTGCCTTTATCGTATTGACTTTCTTCGCAATTCGGTACTGAGGATCTAATTTGAGTAAGATTAAGCGAAAGCCAATTGTTCTTTCCCGCCACCTTGGAGACCCCCGAGAATTGGGAGACGCATGCTGGAAATAGCTTTACGTTTTCTAATTACAAAACTGACATTTCAATGCTGTGATGGTTTGAATTGGGTGGTGGTTCGGGGGCGGCTGCCTGGCGATGCTGTAGTGGGCCGGCAGAGGGGTCCTGAATACTGAAGACCCAGGGGAACACCAGGAAGTTCAGTGACTCAGAAGGTCGAAAGTTAGGGGTCGTAGGTTAAAGGTCAACCCTCGGCTGAGCTTAGCTGAGTTGTTTTTTTTTTTTAAAGTCAACTGTTCTCGTTCTGTTCCTCTGCTTCTCTCTCTGCTCAGTGTTGCAGATTACAAGTCCGGAAATGGCTTTGCAAGGGCCTGATCCCTTTTCATTATAGATGAGTGTCTGCATTTGACTGCTTAGAACAAATCGGGCTGAAGTTCTACAGGCCAGATCAACTAATCATCCACCGACGCAGCCCCACTTGAGAGAGAGAGGGCTTAGGTAAAAGCTCGGACCAAAAATTAATGCACAGCAAGGGGGGATGCCTCCTTATTTGAATCCTGTTAACGTGTGACCTTTGGGTCCTCAAAACAAATCACAGCACATTACCCTCAAGAACTGAACACAGTGAGTTTTATGTCGCTTTCTTATTTTCGCTCTGCATGTTTGTCCGTCGCTTCAACATTAATGCCATTTCAGTCGAGGAAAATCAAATCAAAATGGTGGAGAAGACGTCTCAGAAGGAGGATATCTCATGACAAACCTGACGAAGTTGTGTACCTCCGCGGAGAAAAGAAAATCGACCTGCTTCGTGTTTATTATGCCGATCTGGCTCAAAAGCAGAGCGAACAACTTGAGCAGCTTGAGTGCAAACAAAGAAGTCTGTAAATTACAAACAAATGAACCAAACTATTTAACTTTGAGAAAGAGAGAAACAACAGGAGAAGAACTGGACAAGATGCTTGTAGAGGGAGTTGGTGCCACGTGAGGACAACAAAGGTTTTGTTTGTCCAGACTGCCCACCAAATGCTGCTGGGGGTCAGAGCTGTGGGAGGGGATTGGACTGCCTGAAGCTAAGAATCCTCTGGCTACCGAGTACCCCAGATGCTAGCCCTCGCGTGTGGAGGAGAGTGTGTTGGCGGTTTGAAATTTCCAAAAGCCAGTTTGAGCATGAGGGGATGTCATGGCTGTACACTTTCACATGTTTTACTATAATTATACAGTAACTGTAACAATAGGAAAATAAATGTTTTGATTGACTGACTGACTGACTGACTGATTGTTTGATTGGTTTTGTTGACTGATTGGTTGATTAGCTGATCTGCAATTTATACCCTAAGTAATTTTAGTGCAATATGATGCAAAATATTTTTACAGATAAATTAAGTTCACTTAAATCAACCAGGTGATTTTTGACAGATTCAGTTAATTGGTTGGCCATTTAATCAACTGAGTGAGTTCACTGGAACCTGAATGTAACCTGACAATATAGTTTTTTATCCTCTTCACAATACACTCTGGTTTTGTGGCCGATCATTAGCATGGCTTGGTAACAATCTGACATTCATTCCATGTCCTCAATACAGTAGAGCATGCCTGTACAAATAAATGTCAAAAATAAGGACTCTAGCAAAAATCAGCCTTAAAAAAATCAACTGGATTTATCAACCTGCCATTTATTTACTTGCATATGGAACTCACATTTCACTTCCTTCTCACTGTTTGCATTACTCAATCTTTGGTACTCTTTCTCAAATTGATCACTAGTATGGATTTGGATGTGCAGAAAAGGACCTTCCATCTAGTCTTTCACTTGGAGAGATAAAGGTCAAATTCCAAGAGTATTGGCTTGAATTGACATGTCTTTGATATGGTAAATAATATAGACTACTTCTTAAAAGTCAATATGAACCAGACCCATAACGATTTCTTAATCCAGACAGATTTTTTTTTTTTTTTTTACCATGTTTTATTCTTCGATTTCTCTGCATATCATGCCTGGTCACTTCCATTCACCTTTGACTGCTTACCTGAGACCCACCTGTTCAGGTATTCTGCTTTGGCACCACTGTCTAAACGTGAAGGAATATTCTGGAATTTTTGGTAATCAAAACCATTGAACTGAATCCCACTGGTGCAGTGCTTATTTCTGTGTTTGCTGTATGTAAACGCAGATAGTATTCGGGAAAAATGCTAAGTGCATTAGCACAACGCTAAATCTATGGAATGCATTATGTAACTGTACTGTAAGTAGCCCATCTCAAAAATTAGGTAGTGCACTTCTAGCACCTCCACAGCTGGGTGGATGACCCTTTGCTCTCCGTGTATTTTTTACGCCAGAAAAGAATACTGTGACAGAAAGTCCCTCTTCTTTGGGTAGGCGGACAAAGGGCATTCACTAGCAAAATGTCAGGGTATCCCCTTCAGCTCTACAGAGGACAATGAACTACGTTCAAGGAGGAGGAAACCCCGTCAACAGCCACCTTTACCTCCTTCGATGGCATGTCCACGCCACTCAGAAACTGCAGTTCGCGCAGTAAATGCCATGACTCGATTAGCGGCGCATAACCCCACGTGATGGACGTCGGTGGTCTGATAATGAAGCGTCAGCACTCCTGAGACTTCAGCAGGGGGTAAAGGTTGAGCACCGGCACAATTACCTCCCGCAATGTGTCCGTCACGGCCCACAAAACCACCAGGTACATTACGCTGCAAATTGCAGCTGTCCCATAACAAACATAAGACTATATAATGATGAGAAAAGGTCATTCTGTCCATCGAGGCATGTTGTTTACTCACTGTTTATGCTAGGGTTTGGCAGAGACAGCCATTTCTGTATCAGAATTTAATACCAATCTGTGCACTCAATTAAGTAGCTCAGTCTCTTGTGTCATCTAATTTTTTTGTTGAATGTAACTGACACATTAATTAATAATATCTCGATATTGTTCGTGTAGCGTAACTTTATGTCTATGAATGAACCTGTATATAACTAATAAGCTAATTGAGCCATGGTGATTGGTGGAGATTAAAAACTGTGTTCCAGCCGACCCTGTGGCAATGGATTGTCTATAGAGAGTAAACCAGCACTGTGCCAAACCTGGACTTAAACAGTCCAAGGGTTTCTGCTTATACTGCATGGCTTGGAAAGCTGTTCCATGCTTTAACAACTCCATAGTTAAATTATACTGTATGTTAGAGCAGGATTTACTTATACCTAATGTTCATTTGACCCTACTTATTTTCTGCTGACAGAGCTCAATGTGGAAAAATTGCCTCTTGATAATATGGATGGATAAGATTATGAAATTATGAAATACCCTCCCAGAACAGAGTGTACCACTACTGGTCTGGAGAAAAACCAGCACATGGGTCAAACTAGATATGAAGGTTCCTCTCTTCTTCTTCCACATCACCTGATGCTATTCTATCAGTGCAGAATTAACCTTTCACTAATTCCTATTAAAAGTCCCCTTCTTTTTGAGGATAGAACTGAACCCATTAAAGTTGTATATTAGCTCTTGTGGATATGGCTAGATTTTATTATGTTATAAGAAATGCCAGAGAAGGTTGACAACAGTGTGACTATGTTACCAGTAAATGTAAGACATAAAATTTGCTTCAATTAAATGATGACAAAACTAAATTATCTTCAGCTTCAGAAATCATATTATTACAGTGTCAATTATATGTGTCTGCCTGCCCATATCAAATTGGAAAAACACACATTAATTAGTGATTAAAGGACGAGGTTGTCTGAGGAATTCTGGGTAAGCATCTGTGCTAGGGCCGAATAAACATGTATCACCGAGCCCCCAACATGTCACAGCAAAAATTACAATGCGAGATAAACTGCTAAAATGTATCATTTTATTTTCAGAATGCTAATCTTGCGTGCTGTTGTTGTTAATATGACCGCATTAACGTATGGTAACGATGGAGAGATCGGTTACATCACTTCAAAGTG